ACATCCACAACCAAACCCTGTACTGTCTCCTACACTTCACACCCACAACCAAACCCTGTACTGTCTCCTACACTTCACACCCACAACCAAATCCTGTACTGTCTCCTACACGTCCCATCCACAACCAAATCCTGTACTGTCTCCTACACTTCACACCCACAACCAAACCCTGTACTGTCTCCTACACTTCCCATCCACAACCAAATCCTGTACTGTCTCCTACACTTCACACCCACAACCAAATCCTGTACTGTCTCGTACACTTCACACCCACAACCAAATCCTGTACTGTCTCCTACACTTCCCATCCACAACCAAACCCTGTACTGTCTCCTACACGTCCCATCCGCAACCAAACCCTGTACTGTCTTCTACACTTCCTATCCAGAACCAAATCCTGTACTGTCTCCTACACTTCACACCCACAACCAAACCCTGTACTGTCTCCTACACTTCCCATCCACAACCAAACCCTGTACTGTCTCCTACACTTCACATCCACAACCAAACCCTGTACTGTCTCCTACACTTCACACCCACAACCAAATCCTGTACTGTCTCCTACACGTCCCATCCGCAACCAAACCCTGTACTGTCTCCTACACTTCACATCCACCAAACCCTGTACTGTCTCCTACACTTCCCATCCGCAACCAAATCCTGTACTGTCTCTGCTCTGCCCCCGGCCTCTCCACCACCGGCGGCTCCTGCTCCCATTCCCATCTCCTGAGAGCAGGTCCTCTGCTCGTTCACACCGGCAGCTTTCAGTACTGCAGGACTAAAGCGACAGGAATGACTCCCTTTGTATATTTGGAAACAGATGGTTTGCTTTCATTAATGTAATTCCACATGTAAATGTACTACAGCTTGGACCAAGAATTAAAAAGAATGATAGGTTTCATTTTTCACAAGCAACTGTGATGTTTTGAAAATGGCTCTGCCACGCTATCTACTGACATTTGTCATACTTTACAGGTAAAGACACAAGAGCTGAGAATGAGAAGGACTTCGTTCCTGTGCCGGTTCCTCCTGCAGCTGCCTTGTGACCTGACGCCGCCATCCACCTCTTCTGCTTCCACTTCCCCTGTGCATAAAGTCAGGGTGGCCATATGTGCCCTATGCATCCTCAGACTGACTTGGGACCCTGACTAGAGAGAAGCCCAGAAAAACACACAATAACAAAAGCAAAAGACGCATGGCATGATGGGCAACCACGCTTGAGGGCTGGGGAGAGAAGGCAACCATGCTGACGGTCTCGGTGTGAACCACTGCCAAAAGCATCTCCCTTGGAATTCTGTCCAGTTGCCACAGTGCTCCTCACCTTCTTCATCATCACTAGGAAATACTCACTAGGCTGACCAGATAAATGGAAAGAGTACTTTGACTCAGGGGAGGGGCAGGGATTTGCTGGGAAGGAACACGTGGGAATTTTCTAAGGTGGCGGAAACGTTCCATACTATATCCTGATAAGGGCAGATACATATATTTGCTAAACCTCAATAAATGGTACACAAGATTCATACATGTCACTGCACATTTATTTTACCAAAGAAAAGTGAACTCTAGTTAATGATACATGTGCTACAGCGTTTAAGGGTAAAATATACTGAAATCTGCAACTTACTTTAAACTGCATTAAAAAATAGGATGAATTAATGGATGGCTAGGAAGCTGGATATGTGATAAAGCAAATGGAACAAAATGTTAATTACGGAACCTAGATGGTTGGTATGTAAGTGTTCGCTATAAAATTCTTGCAATTCCTCTGCATGTTTATTTCCGTAATGAAAGTTTGAGGAGGGAAACGATGGTTGATACAGAGTAAGTTCCAGATGAAGTCAGAGGCATAAGGAACGCCAAAGATGGTCAGGTGCGGTGGCTCACACCTGTAATCCAGAAATTTGGGAGGCCGAGCTGGGGGGATCACTTGAGGTCAGGAGTTCAAGACAAGCCTGGCCAACTTGTTGAAATCCCATTTCTACTAAAAATACAAAAAATTAGCCACACATGGTAACGGCACCTGTAATCCCAGATACTCAGGAGGCTGAGGCAGGAGAATTGCTTGAACCCGGAAGGTGGAGGTTACAATGAGCCAAGATCGTGCCACTGCACTCCAGCCTGGGTGACTCCATCTCAAAGAGTGAGACTCGAAAGAAAGAAAGAGGAGGGAGGGAGGGAGGGAGGGAGGGAAGGAAGGAAGGAAGGAAGGGAGGGAGGAAGGGAGGGAGGGAGGGAGGGAGGGAGGGAAGGGAGGGAAGGGAGGGAAGGGAGGGAAGGAAGGGAAGGGAGGGAGGGAGGAAGGAAGGAAGGAAGGAAGGAAGGAAGGAAGGAAGGAAGGAAGGAAGGAAGGAAGGAAGGAAGGAAGGAGAGAAACACCAAAGACTAAGGTAGTCTAGAAAGGCAGAACAGAAGCTGGACCTTAAAATGCGACCTCAGTTGACCAGGAAGCAGAGGAAGGCCTCTCCAGGAAGGAGGCAGCATCTAAGCAGAGTGGCAGAGGCACTGGCCTGCACAGAGCCAGTGTGGAGAGGGCAGCGCCTACAGCAGAGCTATGCCACACATTTGAAATCGCAGAGTGAATCCCACATGCTTGTCTATGTCCTCCACTCAGCCAACAGGAGAGACAGGCACCCAGCCATTCATGAGGAATCCACCCCCTTGACCCACAACCTCCCACCAGGACCCCCTCCAACAATGGGGATGACATTTCCACATGAGATTTGGAGGGGCACATTCACCTAAACAATGCCAAGTAGTAACCGCAGAGAACACATCTAGTGCTTATATGCCAAGCACTGTCCCAAGTGCTTCACATATCATATCTCATTTAATTCTCAGTTAAGTCCAGTGAGATGTACGTACTATTCTTAGTGTTATTTTACAGAACAGTGGGGCCAGACAGTGCCCTCCCCAGAGGTCTGGGTGCCCCGAGCTCAGAGACTCCAGCACCAAGCTGGGCCACTCCTCCGAGGTCTCAGTTGCCACTCCCGGGTACTTCCTCTCAACTTCTAGGCCAGGCTCGTCCAACCTCTTCACAGGCTGCCCCAGCCCAAGGTAGGAGCTGCCTCCCTCCTCGCACCTCCTGTTTGCTTCACACCTGTAGGCCATTGCTCACAGCGATTCTTTCTGTTCCGGCGTGGCCTGTCTCCTGCCTGGAGTGACAGGAGGAGGGACCTGGTCCCCGACTGCTGTGATCCAGCTTGGCTTGGGCTGCTGTGCCACTAGCTCCCTTACCCAGAGGCAGGCTGCCCGGGGTTTTTACTGTTGAAAATACGGCTGAGGTTTGCAGTGAAGCCTTTCACACACAGTTCTCTATCAGTGAGCTCCATCGCCTCCTTACCTTCCCACCCCTGGTCTCCCCTCTCTTGGCCAAGGGCCTGGCACAGAAAAGGTAGCCCCTCTGCATTCCTGCTGCTGCGGGCGCCTGTCCAGGCCCACCGCCTGGCTTTCACTATTGGGGTACTTTTGGGTGCTGTGTGGCCTACTCTCAGGGAACAGCTTTTCCTAAGTCCTCCCAGAGTCCCACTTCCGCTCTGACCCTCCCTCTGACCCAGCTTCCACGACACTTGTAGCAGATGCTTTGTGATGTGCAGTTGAAATGATTTCCTTATTTCACAGGGAATGGTCTTATTTTCACTGTTTCTTCATACTTTGTTGTTTGGGGGAGATTTCAAGAGAAAGAGTAGAACAGAAATGCTCCTCTTCTGACACCTCTATGCAGAGACCGTGCTTAGCCCTCCTAGGCAAGAACAAGAACAGAGAACGCATGCACGAGGTGGGCTGCTCCATGGGTCCAGTACCATTACCATGCACACAAACCACTAAAGGACAAGTCTGGATCATTCCCCAGGGCAAGGCTCCTTCCAGGGCAGATATGGACAGGGGGACTGGGTTAGACGATGCAGACGTATAGCTTCATGCTTTACCTTCTACACACACAGATTTCTATCAAAATCGCTGGAGGAAATACACATACAGATGATACCCTGGAATTCTCCAGAGCGGTACAAGCCCAAAGGAACCTTTTCAAACACACTCCAAACCCATCTTCTCATGACATCATTCTTTGCCTGCAAGTTCTCCCTAGTTCAGCCCTGGACCTGCCCTCAAGCTGGAACTAACCAGCTTGGCATGGTCTGTGGCTCTACCTCTAAGAAACATTATGATGTCATTGGCATGGGGCATGGGCAGGGAGCCCTCTTCCAGGAAATAACATGTGATTGATACATCTTCTACTGGAAACTTCACCAGAACTAGTCAAACCCCCTGAGTGCCTGGTTCATCTCACTCACTCATCAAAAGCACGTGAAACACCCCAAAGTTCTGCTAATTTGCTTTCCCTCTTTTTCATTCTCTGGTCTCACTGGCCTACAATTTCTCTACCTTTATTAAATTACCCAGTTTTATTTCCACATATTACTCTTGATACCTTTCCCTCCTCCTATACAATACATTCCCCCTTTGATCAATACACTCACTAGCCTCTGACACACCAGGTGCCCTGCCAAACACGCCCTCCCTAGGTTACTCTTGTAATGTATGTGCCAAATACTAAATCCCCTTTTTACCCAGGAGGAAATTAAGGCACAGTAGTAACAGTTTCCCAAGGAAAAATAGCAGGTAAATGGTAAAGTCAAAATTTCAACACAGGTGCCCTGACCCCAAGAAACACAGGCTGGATGTATTACGGGGTGGATCCCAAATGGACTGCTTCCAGACCTGCTAATGCTTCTCTCTCACTCATTCAAGAAATAGTTCTGCTAGAAGCTGATGGATGTCCAGGCCTGGGAAAGGGCACGGTGGATACACAGGCATGTGCTTGGTCCCTGTGTCTTATGGTGTGTGTTCTTCACGAAGAACTGGTTTCCCACTGTCATGATGGCACCAATTTAAAAGAGGAAGCTGTTTCTGGATTCTCTGAAAACTGAGTATTTAAAGCATCTCTTCCACAAGTAAACAATACAAAAATTCCCAGGGTCAAAACTGCTTAAGATATCTACCTTTAGTGGTAAGAACTTTCGAGGTGACCTCCAGTTTCTCCAGTGGCTCCATTCCAATATTCTCCAATTTAATGATTAGTTGCTGACTTTCTCCATTGTAAAGCTGGACAGATACATTAGTAGATATTTCATCACCAGAGGAAGGTTGCAACGAATGTGCAGACCTAAAATAAGAAGAAGAAGAAGAAATGTAAAGGAGAAAGAAGGAAGAAGCCAAGGTCATTTTAGAATTACTCACATCAGCCAGAAGAATCACCATACCCGTGTATTTCAGGAACAGGGGTTAGGAAATCCTGGCTTCACGCATGGAGCTCAGTACCCAGCTAGCAGGAACGAAAACCGAGCTGCCACAGGCCTCGTGCTTTCTTCATACAGACACGTCCGGGTCTTTGTGTGTCATAAACATGAACGCCCTCACTCAGCCTTCATTTCTCATGCATACGTGACATGTACAAACACTTAATTACTAAGTTATGGAGGACAAAAATTAAATGATGAGTTGATTCAAATAAACTATGAATCACGGTATTGTTCTCTCGAAATCTAAAAAATGTCATGTTTAGAAGTGCCTTGGGAAAATCTATAGAGTCAAGAGGAAAACATCTACAAACCATTCCAGCTAATAGCACGAGAACTGAGGTCAAAGAGACATGAGAAGCTGTCCAACAGACCCCTTCCTACAGGGACAGTGAGGAAGGCCCACCAATACCCAGTGTCACACAGGGCAGCTGGACCAGGTCCTGAGGTCAGGTCGTGTCTGTGGGGCTCCATCCTCGCACCAGTCAGGTGAGGCCCGGGACCGTGGGGCAGGCAGCCAGGCCAGATGAAGTTGCAGCACAGAGGCCGGGGCCTCCCCAGGCTCCTGCACTAAAGCTCTCAGCCTGTAAGCCCTCGCCTGACTTCTACTGACTTTAACTGAATCCACAAAGCTAATCGTCCTGGCTGTGTCCTTCCTAACCGACAAGTGGCAAACAGTGGGTTGGGAAGCAAGTTACTGGTGACCACAGAGAAAAGATATCTGGTAGCAAAATGGGGACAGAAGCCAGTGGACGACAAATAGAGGCATGTGGCAGGTGATGGTAAATGCCCACAGGGCTCCCTGGAGAAGTTTGGCCACAAAACAAAGGGGCAGCTAGAGGAGGCGGCCGAGGGGCTTGGCAGACATGTTCTCCTGGGCCCTGAGGGTTTCCTGAGGGCCCCACTACCTGCTTCCTGTACTGAAGGAGTTCCGCAGGGAGCCGCAATTACTCCAACAAATTTGAGCCAACATCGTGTGCTTAGTGCAACCAGGAATGGCTCACGAAGTCCGCTAAGCGGACAGTGGACCACCCCACCCAGACACCCTCCAGCTGCCCTTCCGATACCCAGCTCCTCTTAGCCCTGCTCCCGGGTACAGCACATAGGATCACAGTTGGATATGCTTCCCACGCCATGGGAGCACTTGCTACCACACACTTGGTCCAAAGCACAGAAAACAATGTTCCAGGCTCACACCTCTGCCATTCAAGGAAAGAAATGCTGCTTAACACGAGCCAAGCTCATGGAGCCGGCACGCACTTCCTGGGGACTTCGGGCTGCACACTCTGACTGAGGAGCTTCGGCATCCAAACGAACCTTTGGTGAAATAATTACATAATAAATCAAGGCAAGCTCCTGGGAATGTATATACCTTTAACGTTCATGACTCAAGAAAGACACTTCCTATCAAGGAAGGAAAACTGGACTTGTGTCCTTACTACAAATGGCTTCTTCCCATCTTTTAGCAGGCAGCCTTTCTTAAGAAAGCTTGTGGTCAATGCGGATTTGCAGAGGAGGTGTCAGGAGAAAAATAAAGCATGGCCAAGACTCACTATTTTGTGTCTCAAACAACAGGATTTTAAGATAAAACCAAACAATGCTTCTGACACTGTAAGGAAAGAAGGAAAGAAGGTCCCAGAGCTGAACAAGCAGGCAGTCACAGGGCCTGGCTGTGACACAGGCCCTGACGGTCCCAGCTGCAGCGTCCCAGTTGTCACGAGCAGTGGAGCTTGGGGGGGACTCAGGTTGACCCTGAAAAGGAGCTGAATCCTGAACAGGCCGTGGCACTAGAGATGGCAGCAGGGACCCCACTCCAGCCAAGGTCCCGCCCCCTGGGAGGGGCTGCAGAGGCTGGGCAAGGGCCAGGTCCTGCCTCCCAGGAGGAGATAAGGACCAGGAGCTTCTTTGCAGAGAGAAACTCCAGTGTGGGACTATGGATTTACCTCAGCAAACAGGGGAGGTAGGACGAAGGTCTATGCCAGCGAGACTCTCCTTTTTAAGGAGATGGCCCCTAATACGTGGTCTCTGTTGGGTGAGTCAGCCCCTAGGTCTGAGCAGCATAGGAACTGCAAGGGGGAATCACTGGTGCCTGAAGCTAGGCACATCTGTGTCCCCCGAGCACTCGGTGGGCTCAGCTGCCCTTCCTGTAGCTCTGCCCTCCCCAGCCCTGCACTGGACCCAAAGCTTTTTCAAGACAGGGACAATTTTTTTTTTTTTTTTTTTGAGACGAAGTCACACTCTGTCACTCAGGCTGGAGTGCAGTGGCACAATCTCTGCTCACTGCAAACTCCGCCTCCTGAGTTCAAGTGATTATCCTGCCTCAGCCTTCCGAGTAGCTGGGATTACAGGCACACCACCACTCCCAGCTAATTTTTTGTATTTTTAGTAGAGACAGGGTTTCACCAGCCAGGCTGGTCTCAAACTCCTAACCTCAGGTGATCCACCTGCCTCAGCCTCCCAAAGTGCTGAGATTACAGGCATAAGCCACCATACCCAGCCGGGACTTTTAATCTCTGCATTATCAGCTCCTACCTAGCCAGGTACCTGGCACACAGCAGGTACTCAATAAGTATGTATTGAACAAATTAATAAGCATCTCAAATTTAAAGCACTGTGCAACACAGAAAAGAACCCTAGCAGTATAGACATGGGCCTGGGACATAGCGGCCTGCTGCACACTTCACGGCTGCCTCCTGGTGAGCCTCACCCTGGGCAGCGCATCTCTGCATGGCTGCCTGGCCATGGAGAAGGTGGGACAATGCATTTCCACAGGAGATGCCATCAGACTTCCTGCTCCTGACCTCGGCCCTCGTCCGTCAGTGCTCAAGGCTCCACTCTAGCCAGGCTCCATCTGGGCACGTCTGACTCCCATCCTGGAGTGCTCCCTGCCATGTCCCACCCGCTGGCTAAAGGCTCTGCTCCTCTGCATGTCTCCCTGCAGAGGCCTTTCCTGAGAACTCCCTGCAAAGCAGGCCTCATCATCTGACCCTGCTTTGCCAAGTGAGCTGCCTTCTATCTCTGAAGATCTGCCTCTTCTGGACATTTCATCTGACCCAGCTGTGTTTGCATCTCAGCACTGACTTCTCCTGTGCCATGGTCTGTGTTTATTGGGTTGGTTGATTTATCGTTCCTTCTTCTTTGCATTTTTTTCTATGCTTGATTATCTGACCAATTGTTTTGGATCTTATAAAGCCCAGTTGAATATCACATCTTCTATGAAGCCTTCCTGAACCCCAAAGACAGGGCCAGCCTCACTTTTGTTTTCATAGTACAGGGCCGGTTAGCAAATTTGACTCTATTAGTCTGAGTTCCTCCCTTCCAGGCTGTGAGCTCACACAAGGGGAGAGGCCTAGGTCCAGGGCAGTTTTCATTCATTGCTAGTCCTGTAGGACCAAAGCACATGGTAGGTGTCAATAAATGTCTGTGAGTAAATTTAACGAATCAGTCACTGAAACATTCATGTTAGATTAATAGCAACCAAAACCTACTTAAAGAACAGTCACATTTTATTTCAGGAAATCACCTTAGAAAAACATATACATTATGTACAATTTTTTAAAATAAGACATAAAAAACAAACATTTTAACTCTGAATCAGTTCCGCTGGGTCCTCTTCCTCCAGCCCCTGGTCGTCAGCAGGGTGAGCTGGGATCCACATTCCTCCAGTTTCCCGGTGGCCACCCACGGCAGCACATCTTCTTATTGAGAGGTAGCAGGTACCAGAGCATTTGTGCACTCCCGTCACAGGACAATAAAAATGGTGGGTCAGGGGCATTATCTTTGGAAACAATTCTAAATGCAGGAGAAAAATGGGGTGGGGGGCAAAGAGAAGCAGAGGACCCGCTTTCTTCACTGCCTTTTACAGCTGGCAGGGACCTTCAGGGAGGCCTTATTAGCAGGACAAATGACAAAGTTGAAGTACCTCTTCTCAAGATATTTTTCCTTTTTGGTAACAGCAGCCTTTAGTGTTTCTTCGCCGTAAGCCACTCCCGCCCCTTTGCTGGAGCGCTGGCTGGGGCTCACTGAGCTAAAGCCAGAGCCGTGGTCTCCTTCATCAGCTCTCTCAGGGTTCACTGCCAGCTTTCGATGGATGGCTGGTGCTCTGTACAGGGCTGCGAGCACGTGCTGAAAAACTGTAGCTGGAGCTAGTGTCCTTCCTAGCCTAGCGCCCACGGGGTGCCACAGTTCTAAAGACAGCGGTGGCAGAATTCAGCAGCAAAGCCTGAGCTGGGAGTCTGCACGTCTGGCTGTTCGAGCTAATGTGCTCAGAAACATCCAAGCCCGGAAGTCCTGGTGGCAGGCTCAGCGGAAATCATGTGTCCACCCAACACTGAAGCCTTGCCAAAATTCATCTTTCTAAACAGTATATGGAGTTATAAACTCCACCTAGCTTAAGTATGCAATGCAATCATTTTCATTAAATTTACAAATCACTGATACCCAGTTTTAAAACACGTCCAGCACCCCACAGAGACGCGGCAGATGCACTTCCAATCGGTTCAGTCCCCATGCCACTGCCAGCCTGAGGCAGTCAGAGAGCTGACTTTCTGGATGTTTCACATCAGAGGACTCAGGCTCTGCACCTCTCGCGTCTGGCTCTCGCACTCAGCAGCTTGCTTCTGAGGCTGGTCTGCGCTGGGGCACGTGCCCTTCGTCCCTTCGTTGTGGAGCGCTGTTCCACTGCAGGGACACACCACATTCTGTTGAGCCCTTCACCAGCTGACAGCCATCTGGGCCCTTTCCAGTTTTCTGATTGTGAACAATGCTGCTATGAACATGCGCGTACAGGTTTCTGGGTCAACATATATGTTCAGTTGTCTTGTGCAGACACCTAGGAGTGGAATTGTTGGGTCATATGGTAAAGTTATATGTAACTTCTAAAGAAACTGCCCATGTGTTTTCAAAAGGGATGGCCCATCAGCATTCCTACCAGCCTCACATGAGGGGTCCAGCTTCTCTGACAACTTGCACCCCTGCTATCGTGAGCCTCCTGAGCGGGTGTGAACCAGGGCCTAACGTGGTGCTAGAGACTAATGACGGCCACCATCCTTCCAGGTTGCGTGCAAGCTATCTGTACCTCTTGTGGTGAAACAGCTACCCACATCTCTCGTCCATTTTTTAAATTACGTTGTTTGTCTTCTTTTTATTAAATTTTAAGTTCTTAATGTGAATATAAACTCTTTATCAGATATTTAATACGCAAATATTTTCTTCCAGTCTATAACTTTCATTCTCTTACTGGTGTCTGTGGAAGCATAAACGCTTCTAATTTTGATGAAGTCCGATCTGTCAACGCTTTATTATGGATCCTGCTTTTGGTGTCACACCAAAGAACTCTGCCCAATTCAAGGTCATGATCATTTTCTCTTATTTTCTTCTAAAAGTTATACACTTTCAGCTTTTACACTCAGGCCTGTGATCCCTTCTGAGTAAACGTGGTCTGTGTTTCATTTGATTCCCCAATTGTATGTCACTGTCTCCACCTTTCCTTCCTCTGTGAGAAGACGGCCCTGCCTGCCCCCGTACCCAGCCTATTCCCTTGCCCCCTCCCATTGAGCCTGGTGTCACCTCCTGGAAACTTTCCTGAGTCCATGACCTCCCCCAGCACATGGGACCTCCCCCATCAGAGTCCTGACAATGGTGCACTGTGGTTATTCGGCAACTCATCAGTCTCCCCACACGACAGAACTTCCCATGAGGACAGAGACCAGGACTGTCATATGGCTGCTATAGCCCCAGCACCCAGCACAGCAACTGGCAAATCAAAGGTTCTATTTAACACATGAACAGATTTTAAAAACATTTCAGGCCTGTAATCTCAGCACTCCGGGAAGTCGAGGTGGAAGGATCATGAGGTCAAGAGATCAAGACCATCCTGGCCAACATAGTGAAACCCCATCTCTACTAAAATACAAAAAAAAATTAGCTGGGCATGGTGGCTCACGCCCGTAGTCCCAACTACTAAGGAGGCTGAGGCAGGAGAAATGCTTGAACCCAGGAGGCAGAGGTTTCAGTGAGCCAAGATCACGCCACTGCACTTCAGCCTGGTGCCTGGCAACAGAGCAAGCCTTTGTCTCAAAAAAAAAATTTTTTTTCAGAAAGTCCCAAGACACATTTTATAGAAATGGCCAAAAGGATATCTATTAAGTGTTATTCATAAGTGCAAAAAATCAATAACAGGCCGGGCATGGTGGTTTATGCCTGTAATCCCAGCACTTTGGGAGGCCGAGGTGAGTGGATCACTTGAGATCAGGAGTTTGAGACCAGCCTGGCCAATGTGGCAAAATTCCATCTCTCCTAAAAATACAAAAATCAGCCAGGTGTGGTGGTGGGTATCTGTCATCCCAGCTACTCAGGAGACTGAGGCAGGAGAATTGCTTGAACCTGGGAGGTAGAGGTTGCAGGAAGCCGAGATCACGCCACTGCACTCCAGACTGGGCGAGAGAGCAAAATTTCATCTCAAAAAAAAAAAAAACAAAAACAAATTGAGATCATCCCAAATTCCAATAGCAAGGAAACTAATGGGTACGCAGTTCTGAGATATCATTATGATGTGCTTTGTTGAAGCAATTAAAAGGGAATTTTTTTAAGAATTTGTAAAAACATGAAGAAAAGCTTAGGTTACGTGGTTATGCAAAAAGTAATCTATGACACTATGTATGACATGCTGTAATCTCAACTATTCAAAGACATATTTTTAAATAGGATGGATAAAACACTAGAGGGAAAAATCAACACAAATCATTTCTAGTAATTGCTTCTGAGACTCCTGAGATTTCTTTTTCTTTCTTTTTTATGGTTTCCTATCATGCTAAAAACAAACAAACAAGATCAAAACTGTTTCTTAAAAGATAAGAGTTGGCTGGGCATAGTGGCTCACATCTGGAATCCCAGCACTTTGGGAAGCCAAGATGGGTGGATCATTTGAACCAGGAGTTCAAGACCAGACTGGGCAACATGGCAAAACCCCACCAAAAAATACAAAAATTAGCCAGGCATAGTGGTGCGAACCTGTAGTCCCAGCTAGGCTGAAGTGGGAGGATCACTTAAACCTGGGAGGTGGAATTGCAGTGAGCTGAGATGGCACCAGTGCACTCCAGCCTGGGCGACAGAGCAAGACTCAGTCTCAAAAAAATAATAATTAATTAATTAAAATATAATATAAAAGTTTAACTTAAATTCCCTATATTTTTAAGGGAATCCCTAAATTCCCTAATTTTATTTATCAAAAGAATTATGATTCCATAGGCTAATTTCACATTTTGTTCTGATCATGGTAAGAAAGATTTCAACTTTGTTCTAATTCGTTTTAAGCAAAACATATTGATGTTGTTTATCTTAAAGAAATATTCACCTATATTCTGGTCATAAGAATTACAGGCTCTGGGCCAGGTGCAGTGGCTCACACTTGTAATCCCAGCACTTTGGGAGGCTGAGGCGGGTAGATCACGAGGTCAAGAGATCGAGACCATCCTGGTCAACATGGTGAAACCCCGTCTCTACTAAAAATACAAAAAATTAGCTGGGCATGGTGGCGCGTGCCTATAATCCCAGCTACTCAGGAGGCTGAGGCAGGAGAATTGCCTGAACCCAGGAGGCGGAGGTTGCGGTGAGCCGAGATCACGCCATTGCACTCCAGCCAGGGTAACAAGAGCGAAACTCTGTCTCAAAAAAAAAAAAAATTACAGGCTCTTTGTGCCATGAAAAAAAAAAGTAAGACCAAAAATGATGCCTAGGAGCCACTCTGCTCTGTGACCCCCCCCCCCGGGCACACTACCTGGGCAGAGAGGTGCTGATCTGCAGTCTCGGCAAGGCGGGGATGACCTCGACTGTGGAGCCACTGGTTTTGATTCCTGGCAGGTCATCCAGCAGGCAGTCACTGAACACACCGAAGACGGTGGTATGGTACCCTGGAACAGAAAATGAACATCTTCAGTCCACTCAGCAACAGTGAGAAGAGCACGGGGCTCCTCTTCAGAGACCTGAGCTCCAAAACTGCCCGCCGACCTGCCCGCACACCCACATGCCTGCCCTCAAGCCCTGAGACCCTCACTCTCCTCATCCGTGCTGGAAAGGATAACAGAACCTGCATTCCTGCTTCACAAGGCTGGCTGGGCCCAAACGAAAGACTATATGCAAAGGTCCTTGTAAACTACGAATGTCACTTAACAATCAGTATCTCATCCCTTTACTCATTTGCTTTTCAGATTTATCTATCTCTAAAATGAGAATGATAGTTAATATTCTTTTCCAGGACATAATGTGACTTAATGAGTATTTGAAAAATGCTTCAAAACCTTCTGTTGAGAGATGAAAATTCAAGAGCCAATTATTGTTATTATAGCTGCTACGTGACACACCAAATGTGCTCTATGTGTACAAGTACTATAATTTAAGATTAGCAAATTTCTCACGTTAAAAAAAAAAGTCTACTGGTTAGATAAGCACTAGAAATTGTTTAAGCAAAGCTTTAATATGGCTTTTAAAATTTCACCAGATAATTATTATAAACAACATTCATTCTGTAACAAAATTAAACAGTATCCAATGGCTAAATGCCTAGGGTGACAACTTTTCTGCATTCATAGAAGACTATTACATACTACACAGAGATGCAGCCACTCCCTCAAGGGCAAATCAGGGCCCTTACACAGCCTCAGTCAGCCCTGGCTTACCTCCTGCCAGCTTGAAGCTGCCCTATAAACGTAACTCACATTCACAGCAGCCACACTTCCTCTAAAGTACAGCTCTTCAGAGATGTCTTTAACTGGCAAACGTTTTCCTCCCCAAAACCACATCTGTCCTTTCCATAAAACCCGGTATGATGTGGTTTTGTCTGCTAAGCAGCCATTATTTTACAGTCCGTAACTTAAATCAGCCATTTTCTTTTCTTCCCATTGCTTAAAATAACTACCATGGCCAGGCATGGTGGCTCACAACTGTAATCCCGGCACTTTGGGAGGCCGAGGCGGGTGGATCACAAGGTCAGGAGTTCGAGACCAGCCTGACCAACATGGTGAACCCCATCTCTACTAAAAATACAAAAATTAGCTGGGCATGGTGGCACATGCCTATAATCCCAGCTACTCAGGAGTTGAGGCAGGAAAATTGTTTGAACCTGGGAGGCAGAGGTTGCAGTGAGCCAAGATTACACCAGTGCACTCCAGCCTGGGCAAGAGAGCGACTGTTTCAAAAAAAAAAAAATCACCATATAAACCCACAAGTCTGATGACAAATAGCACATCATGATGTCTGACAATACAAGATCAGTCTTTTTGACTTCATTCCCAAATCAGGCCAAAAATGAACACTCACTAGTCTGGACGCAGGATAAACTACTAAAAATGCGTGACTAAGGCTCCTACTCCTCATCCGTGAACATACTAATTACGGGTTACATGTTATTCTGAATCAAGCCCTTCACTCCTCATTGTTCCTCTCTAATCTGTTACTATCTCCTACGCTCCACTGCCAGGCCTTGGCTATGGTCCCACCTCTGTCCCCCTCTACCTGGGTCCTCGCTGGAGTTTGATCACTGGTGTCCCCGCCTCCAGTCCTTCCCATCTCGGCAGAGATCCTGGATCCTGAGGGATGGCTCTGAATTGCCCACCTAACCACCTCTCTATTCAAATAACGCAGCAGCCCCACTGCCCCCTGGAGAAAGCTGGCATCCTTCAGCACAGTGTATAAGGAAGGTCCCCAGGTGGGCCCTCTGCCTCCCTTTCCAGCCCGTCTCATCCCTGCCACCCTGCCCTGGACCACCCACTCTGACCACCTCCAGATCCCCCAAATGCACCATGCTCTCTTACCACCACATTGTTCTTTCTGCCTGGAACCCTCTTTCTGCTCCCTGTGGACATCACTCCCTCCATGGCCCACCCCCATTCATTTGAATAGTTCCTAGTTAGCCTTTAAGTCTCAGGGTCACTGAGCAACCCACTCTCCCAGCTGGGTCCATGCCCAGAGTCATTCACTCCCTCCGTCACTCCGCTCCATCTTCCAGCTTGGGGCAGAGCACCCTCACCTATAATTGCACCTGCCTCCCTCACCCCTAGGGAGTACCCTTCCAGCAAACGTATGCTCTTCCAGCCAACACACACTGAAGACCTACTGTGTGCAGCCTCCACACTAGGCACTGAGTTGCCACTGAGAGAGACACTCAAGGCCAGCAAGGACTCCATCGCACAGGGACAGGAAGGAGACCACCACGCAGGGGCCTAGGCCAGTGAACCACGCCGAGGAAGGCTCCAGGAAGAAGGGAAGCCTGTGCCGAGGACTGGGAAGCCGAGGAGCCAGCCACGGTGGTAAGCCCTCGGAAGGGGCACAGGCAAAGCCTCGGAAAACCTAGGAAGCTGCCAGAACTAAGGAGTCTTCAGAGACTGAAGCAGGATTTCACAGGAGGAGAGCTGCAGAGCGGAGGCTGCGGAGGCCAGCAGAAGCCAGACCACACCGGGTTCCAGAGCAACACTTACAGACACAGCCTTGATAACAAGGGCCTGGCGAAGGCTATGAGGCTCCCAGTTGAGAGATATCAGGAGCAGATTCTCACTAGGAAGATCACTGGGCCACACATAGGAGGTGGGTCTATTAGCAAGCAAGACCAGGACAGAAACACTCTTCCCAGTGCTTTTGTGACAAACCCCATTAGAGTTATGATCTGCAAGGCAGGAAGGGGAGGTGGAGTTGGAGAGACCAGGCGGTCCTCGGGAAGCAGTTAGGGAGGGGTTGTGGGGGTGCTGTGAGAGACAGCGAGGGTCGAGGATGACCCCCAAGAACTCATTAGGGCAATGGCAGATGATAAGGATGCCTGCACTGAGATGGAGGCTTGACGGGCAGGGGCGGCTTTGGGGAGGCAAGTTCTGCTTTTCACCTACTGTAAAGGGAAGCTGGGAAGGGCTGGAGGTGCAGACCGAGAAGAAGTCTGGCCCTGGGAATCATCTGCACATTGCAGGAACTGAAGATAGGAAGGCCAAGGGCATCAGTGGGATCACCTAACATAGCTTGTGGAAGAGGAAGAATGAACAGGGCAGGGAACAGAGGGCGAGGGGTGGGAAGGAGAGAAGTGGGGTGTGAGGAAGGCTTAGCTGAGGGTGGGCTGCGCAAGACAAGAGAGACCCAAACAGAAGGGCCAGAGAGGCGGCAAAGCATCTGGAGGGGCAGGGTCACAGCAACCAGAGGGGAGGGCATGCCACATGGAGGGTTGGCCAGGGACTCAAAGGGCACTGAGGAGTGAACTAAGAAAAAAATTGAAAAGTAAGCCCCGGACTTAGCCCAAAAAACAATGCTTGTGACAGGAGTTTTGGTGAAGTGAGAAGGGCTGAGTCCAGGATGCAGAGGGTTAAAGGACCCCTGCAGAGGCGGAGAGTGGATTCAGCATGTGTAGACACCCTCTGAGGGTTTCCTGCCAGAAGGAGCAGGAGGAAAGAAGGGAAGGAAGGCTCACTGGAGAAGACTGTGGCAGAAAGGAGCCCAGCACAGGGAGGAGGGGCGGGGGGTAGGGTCAGAGCAGGGGAAGGACCCCTCCCACTACCACGCACCCTGCAGCCCGCAAGCAGGTTTTCTCACAGTCTTCATTATCTTCTAACTGGTGAGGGCTGACATGACGGGCCATGGGCTCTAGGCCTCACACAGGCCAGGCAAGGGTTTGGCAGTCCCTCCAGAACAGGAACCACGAAGGGGTTCTCCTTACCATTCACAGTAATTGTTCCAGTTGTCTGCGGGACCCCAACTAGCGTCACTGGGTACAGACCAGATTCAGCCGGAAGAGAAAGAGCTGCAGGGAGAGACTCGAACTCCACTCCACTGGTGAGCAGCCCCTAAAACAAGCAACGCAGCATCGTAAGCCCAGACCAAGCCTACCGTGTGCGCTCAATTCCAAATGCGCCTTAAGACATTGGCTAGGGCACATCTGGGACTGCTGGAATAAAATGACCAATGGGCATTATAGAAACCCACAGAGAACTTCAGAGACAGTGTAGAGTGTAACGCAAAACCTCCTTGGCACGGTAAGCACTGTGGGGGCACAGGCAATAAATCACGGATCAACTTATTTCAGCCCCGTTTGCTGTATGTTTAATATTTGTTTTGTTTTGTCATTTTACCAAATGGGAATGTGAACACAAGGGGAAAATATTTTATTTATAAACAAAAAGAAATAAAAACATACCTGGGCATGGTGGCTCACACCTGAAATCCCAGCACTTTAGGAAGCCAGGGTGGGAAGATCGATTGAGCTCAGGAGCTTAAGACAAACCTGGGCAACATAGTGAGACCCCACCTCTACAAAAAAATGTTTAAATGAACCGGGCAAGGTGGCACACACCTGTGGTCCCAGATACTTGGGAGACTGAGGTGGGATAAACACCTAAACCCAGGAGGCTGAGGCTACGGAGATCACACCACTGCACTCTAGCATGGGGGACAGAGTGAGACCCTGTATCAATCAATCAATCAATCACAGGTGGAAATATACCACCTCTTAATATCCCTGCCACACATCCATGAGTTATCAACACATTTCAGTATGTACTAAGCTTGCTAGCACAGGCTAGTGAACAAGGCAGGCAGATTCCCTGGCCTCAAGAAGCCGGCCTGTGATTAGAAGCAATGCAGGGGTGGCAGCTCTCAGGACTTCTCAGCGTTGTAATAGAGGTCCTACTCAGGGCACTAAGGCAAGAGAAAGGAAGAAAAGGCTTACAGACAATTATTCACAGAAAACAAAACAGGACCATAGAAAAGGCTATGGAATCCACAATGAAACCTGAACTTTTAAGTACACTTAGCAAAGTGAGAGAGTCAGGTAAAAAAGGAGTTACTTCTATAGTTTAGCAATAAACAGCTGGAAAAAATGTATTAAAAAATCATTAACAAGAGATCAACACCATCAACTATATTAGAATAAACCTAACAAATGACGGGCAAGGTCTCATTACAGTCACAGAGCACTGCTGAGATCATTTAAACAAGGCCTCCACGAAGGGGGAGACTCTGGATTCTTTTCAGCAGATTGGTTTTCTGCAGTGTATGGTCATAGCAACCCTGCAACTATCTCAGCTATACAACAGGACTGAGCACATGAGTAGATGTGTTGATGGTGGGAGTCCGAGCTCTCACGCAGGAAGGAAGGACACACACGATGGGAGGCAGGTGAGCACCGTCTGGAGACGTGCTGGAAAGCAAGGGTCCAGGTGAACTCAGGGCAGATGTCCATGATGCAGAGGCATGCTTATGTGCATGCGTACACATATGTAGGCATACGGTTTAGATACATATGTGCCATCTCGTGTATGTGTAGATGCACAAAGACTCTGCCTAACTCTTGTCTATAGAAAGCACCCAGAAGCAAAGCCACTCTCTCGGCAGTGAGTACACCGAGTGCCTGGCCTTGGAGCCAAGGTGTGGAATGATCTATGTGCGGAACAGATGTAGCAGGCAAGGGTGGAAGCAGAGAAGCCACTTGTCTCCAGGCAAATGTATTGGCATTTATTTCTTTTTAAAATAGCTAAAGCAATATGGCCAACTGTTACCATTTTTTAATGTGAATGGTGGTATACGACTGTGCAGTATTCCCTGCAACATTTCATATGTTTAAAGTACTTCTTAATTTAGTTTTTAAAACTCTGCCCATGATTTGTGGGCTATCTCCATGTGGTGCTTTTTATTTTATTCCCTGCTCTTCCTCATTTGTTATAATAAGCACATATTGTTTTTAAACCAGTTAAAAATGAAAGCTGCATTTTAAGACCAAAAAAAATGTGTAAGAAAGAGCAGCAGGCATATGATACTTTACCCACTTTGGGGAAGATTCTCTAAACTGCTTTTCCCTACTAAGGCTGAGAAGAAAGCCACCGGAAAGGCCTGAGCCAGGAGCCAAGTCCCACTGCAGGTCAGTCCTCACCCAACAGGAGGAGGAGCGCTCCTCCGAGGCAGCCTCGGGACTGCAGGCTCAACATCCAGCTGAGCTTCCAGGAGCTGAGACCGATTTCAGGAAACTACGCCAGTACTAGCAGCATGAGCGGCATCTCGTGTGGCTACCACGTGTCCACCTGGCAAACTGCCACTCAGCCTGTACTCCAGGCCAGGGCATCACGCCTGTCCCAGGAACCCTCCCTGACTCTCCAAGGCCAAGCAGACTCCCCTTAACATCAGGCCCACAACACCGCATGAGCCCCAACAGAGACTTGACTGCGTTCGCAGCAGGGCCTGACCATGTCTGTCCCCTCAGAGCCTTGCCTGAGGCCTGACATGGCAAGAGCACTCAGCGAGATACTTGCATGAAGAGCCCGCCTCTTGCCATTCGTAAAACTCTCAGAGACAAGATCCAGTCTCGCAGCACCACCCTTTGCATGCCGCTGAAAAGCTACACAGCAGCAGCACACAGCAATGCACAGAAGACTCAGGGATGGAAGCTGCACTGGTGTGGGGAGGGTCTGCTCTGAAAACCACAGAATCAGCTTCAAGAACCAGTACAAATCTCCTTCCCCTGACTAGAGAATTAGGTAAGCATTTCCAACAGAAGGGACTATAAAGTGAATCTTCAACACCCTACACAAAGTGCAACTGGACATCAGGGTTTCAAAACAAGAGAAAGCCCGCCATGGTGGGGTGGTCAGTTAAGCTCCCATTCTACACCTGGTTCCTCCCTGGGGCCTGGATCATCTTATCATCTTGCCGCAATAAAATAATGCTGATATCAAACTTTGCAACCTGATTATTTCACATCTTATACCCAATCAACTAAGCTCGGTATGTGTTCAAATCAGAGGTTTCTTTGTAGGTTCAAATATTTATTGAGAACGAAGCCCAAAGACATAGGAATAACAAAACACAGCCTTAAGTCACAACAAGCTTATATGCTTTGGCAAAACAAACATAAAAACAGGCATATATCACAAGATGTGTGCCTCCGACATTAAGTAAAAACCTACTTTAATGAGAAGTTTGTGCTTCAGCCCAAGAAGGTCAAATTATCGGTGATACATACCATGTTTTCAACTCGAAGTTCAAATGGCATTGGGTTATACACCATCAGCTGAACTTCACACACATCTCCTTGAACCCACTGGAAATCTGGAAAACACACACACACACACACCACACACACACACACACATCCAGTGATTAGTTCGTATTTTTTCACTTTCCACATGGTTTCTGATTATTCCCCCAGCAATTTATATTTTCAACAAGGCAGCAGGCTCCATGATCATCTTGAGATGGGTGATTCAAAGCTGGTTTCCCACCAGCTTTCTCTGAAACGAAGCAAGACAGCTGTCACTGCCACTTTGAGGCCACATGAATGGTGCTCCTCGCTGCCTTCAGCAGGCTCTGTTCCTGCCGCCATCAGTCCAAACGGCACTGTTCTTGGTGCAGAGCTGTAAGGCACACTGCATTTCAGGGGCCCAGAGGCTGACACACAGGAAGGATGGCAATGGGATCACTTCTGAGTGACATGGAGTGTGATTTCCCCTATTCCCCCAAGACTGTGAGAGAGGGAGGCTTCTCCTCCCCACCCACTCCCAGGTCAACTGCAGTTCAGTACCTGTGTGGGACAGAACTGTGATGACTCCAAACCCCCAGCTTTGGAGTGCACAACCTCGTGTGCACGGCCTTAAGTGTGAACATGATGATGAGGTTACCTTGTAAAACAAAGGAGGAAAGACTTTCCAGATGTGACTGAGGTCCCCAGTTAGTTGACTCTGGGTTTTGGGTGATACCTCACAGGGGGCCATGTCCTTCCCTAGAGGGCCTGTGGAGGGGACCACATGGCAAGGACCTAAGAGCAGTCTCCAGGAACTGAGAGCAGCACCAGCTGACAGCTGCCAAAAGAACAAGGACCACAAGCAAATGAATGAAGAACAAGCTGAGCCTCCAGATCAGGACACAGCCCCAGGTGACACTTGGGTTTCAGTCCTGGGAACCCCTGAGCAGAGGACCCAGCCGACACCCGCACAAATCGTGAGGAAGTAGATTTGTGCTGTTTTAAGCCAGTGAATCTGTGATCAGAGCAACAGAAAGCTAATTCAGCATCTGCCCCAATTTCCATCACCCCTTCCTCCCTTTCCAATCCTCTCTTAGGCAAACCAGAAGGAATTTCGGAATTAATCCACGGGTATCAGGCATGTGTTAGGTGTGAGGCACTCCCACACAGGTATCTCAGTACTCATAATGACCTCCTGAGATAGGTGCGATGACCCCCGTAGCTGCAAGGCAAACACTCAAGGTCCAAACAGGCTAATCAATTGGCCCAGGAACCACACAGCTAGTGAGAGGAGCTGCTGGATTCAGGCCTCTGAACTCAGAGGCCTCCCAAGCAGACACGGGTGGCCAACAAGGCAGTGGAGGGCTTTTTCTCTAGCAGATAAGAAAGTCTGCTAAGAACTCTTCAGCTTTCACAGAGCTTTCGTAAGTGTGTTCTCAAGATACAGCTTCTTCCACATACTCTGCACCAGGCACCCTGCACAGAGATAAGGACTGACTCCACCACACCTGTAACAGCTGACCCACAGCTGGCATGTTGACACTGCACAAATTAATACAGCACCACCAGGTGAGCTAACTAGCTCATCCAGTGCCTGCACCAGCCTGTACTCATTGGAGCCTCTGCACAATGCAATGAATGACCACAGTCTATGTCAGTAGCACAAATGTTATACCCGTTCTACAGAAAAGGAGAACTCCCCTGCCAGGCTGGCCTGCCCGCCCATCCTATGGTCCTGAGAAGCAAGAGAGCTGAGATTCAAACTCCAGTCTCTCCAGCTCCAAAACCTATGTTCTTTCACTCTAATGCTTCACCTTCAGGACTTCAGAAACTCAGGTCTTGTCCTTCCTTCCCTCATTCCAGCTTCCATGACTCCCCACCTCCCAGGCCCATCAGCTTCTGAGGACCTTCAATGGGAGAGGGTTCACCCACCCTCCTCATTCACATAAGTCAGTGGCCAGAGCACAACACGCTCCCTCCGCACCTGCCCCCAGCCTCACCCAGCCTGCCCAGGACCACTGATGGTCAGCATCCTGGCCCCCTCTCACCACAGATGAAAAAGGTCACTCTCTTTAAGCAAGTTGCTGATGCTGGTAATTAACAAACTGCTGCCCTATCATGGTGATGATGATGATAATAATAAATCATTTTCTAGAGTACCGAAAAAACAATGTATACTTAGATGGTTCCTGGCTACTAAAGGGTAAATCTAAGATAAATTGTTGATGACTAAAAAATGTATTTTTCTTCCTCTTTTTGAGATGCAGCCTTGCTCTGTCACTCAGGCTGGAGCGCAGTGGCACGATCTCGGCTCACTGCAACTTCCACTCCCGGGTTCAAGTGAGTCTCCTGTCTCAGCCTTCCAAGTACCTGGGACTACAGGTGTGCGCCACCACACCCAGCTAATATTTTTGTATTTTTAGCAGAGATGGGGTTTCACCATGTTGGCCAGGCTCCTGAGGATCTCCTGATCTCAAACTCCTAACCTCAAATAATCCGCCTCGGCCTCCCAGAGTACTGGGATTACAGGCACGAGCCACTGTCCCTGGCCTGAAAAGTTATTTTTGTCTGAAAGAAGGAGATAACCCCTTTCCAACTCTCAGCATGTCAAAGCATGGTGGTGGCCCTTCCTCATTATTTTGTCCCAGGAGTAGTGGGAAGGCACAAGAATGAGCCTCCTGAAACCCCCTGGTTTTAGGCTCTGCCCACCCTGTAGTAGGACACACTGTGCATGCTGTCATCTGTGACCCATGGCACTGGGCAGTGGCGTTTACTGACAAGTTCGTCTCTTTTCTGCTACACTGTATGGACCCACATGGCGGGAAGCACTCCTGACTTATCAGTGCATCCCCAGCACACAGCACAGGGCATACAACTACTACTAAAAGTGTTAATGAATGACTGCCAGGGACTTTAGAAGCATCCTCTCCCTTGATCCTCAGAACTACCCTCTGTGTCAGCTTCTAATGTCCCCATTCTGCAGATGGCATGACTGCAGACCACAGAGGCACCATCAGCTGTTCAAGGTCACACAGTGGGGAGCTGCAGGGCCAGGCTGCAGCACAAGTCCACCTGACAGCCACAGCCTCTCCAGGCCATCACGCTGCCTCCAGGGCAGCCATGGACCTCAGCAAGAAGCCTGGCAGTGCCACAAAGACCTATCACAAAGGACTGAAAGCCTGCAACCCAACACACTGAAGCTGAGGACTGGTGTTGCAGTCATCTTTGCATGGAATGTGGCTCAGATGATGGCCGCACCAGCCAACACACACAGACTCGTGAACTATTCCAGGTGAAAGTGGAAAACGGTCTCAAGCGGTGCCCTCAAGATTTCTTCATCTCTAAAACCCTACGCCGCCTGCTGGGACGGTACCTGCCCCAGTTATACACCAAGGTTCACTTAGACTGGAAATTTAGGTTAAAGTGATGTGATTTGTCAAGCCTCTGGGCGAGCACTCACTGATCAGTACAACTGCTAAAAAGATATTAGAAGCTATGCAATGTAAATTACATCTTCCTACCAAACAAATAATGTGCATTTTGGCCAAACCTTGTATCTCAGAAAACAATCCTACATCATCCACTGAATTTTTCCTCAGCCCAGAGGAACAGGAACTTCTAACCACATGAGAATCCATATTATAAAGGAGAAAGGCCTGGGGCATGGAGTCCTACGACCTGGCATGGAGGTCACTGACAAGCTACCTGACCTGGGGCAGGTACTTACATTCGTTCAGACTTAATTTTCTCATCTGCAAATAGGGACTATAATAATGCCCACAGCATAAGCGTCAAATGGCTTTGAGATCACTGGGTAATGTCTGCTTAAGCCCACTTCAACAAATACAGAGAGCAATTTTCATAAAAAGAATCCTTGACAGTGTCCTTTTTTGTTGTTGTTTTTCGAGACAGAGTCTTGCTGTGTTACCCAGGCTGGAGTATGGTGGTGTAGTCTCGGCTCACTATAGCCTCAACCTCCTGGGTTCAGGTGATTCTCCCATCTCAGCCTTCCAAGTAGCTGGGACTACAGGTACCCACCAGCAGGCCTGGCTAAATTTTCATATTTTGTGTAGAGATGGGGTTTTGCCATGTTGGCCAGGCTGGTCTCAAACTCCTAGGCTCAAGCAATCCACTCGCCTCAGCCTCCCAAAGTGCTGGTATTACAGGTGTGAGCCACCACACCTAGACAACAATTTCTTCCAAGACTAAAAAAAAAAAGCAGAGAGGCAGGGCTTGCAATCCACGCCATCAGTGGCACAGGCCCCTGTGCTCAGAGGCTGGTGTCTGGTGTCACGCTCTGCTGTGTCGCTGTCTTCAAATTCTTAGTGATGTTTGAACAAAGGCCCTATGTTTGCATTTTGCACTGGGCTCCACAAATCACACAGCCAGTCCTAAGAAGAGGAGTCTCACACCTCCAGTCTCCTAAATCACCTCTAGATGTTTTTCTCTAAACAAAAGGGCTGAAGCTTTCCTCCAAAGTTCTGCAGGGGAGACAGCTCATCACCAACACCAATGAGAGCGGAAGAGAGCAGAGACCCTAGAAGGTCCCAGAGCAAGAGCCTCGGCACTCCTAGGACAGCGAGTCCAGGGCCAGGGGAGACAGAGGATCCCAGATAGTGGCCTGCCTATCCCCACAGAGCTCGGAAGTCACCCTCCAGAGAGGAAAGCTGGAGCTCCTACAGGAAGCCAGGAAATATTCCCAAAATGAAGCGAGGACGGGATGTGTGCAGCTCTCTCCTGCTTACCACAACACACACTGGAGCACATCTGGGGATGCCACCAGACCCTGCCTGTTCATCCACCATGTCCACCCAGCACCCACACACCCTGTCACCTCGTGTTCTCCAGAGGAGAGAAGCAGTGGCAGGAGAGACAAGGCTGGGGTGTCTTTCAGAATCAGTAGACTGAAAGTGGCATTTTAAAAACATACCCACACACACATACACACGCACACACACAAATTCTGCAGTAGACTTAGCACTCACGGTTTCAGAAATTTTCTAAAATTCAGTACTGGCTACAGTTTTTCAAGGGCATGACCTCCGGTCTCTTCATTTTCTTCTCATTCTAACAATGAACAGCTAGAACA